CTCCAGCTCCCTCTCGGCCTGCAGGGCCGCCCCAGGGCCTTTGCATCGCCCGTGTGTTCCCTCCAGAAGTGTCTTCACCCACATGCTGGCACAGCGCTCTGCTTCCTCTCTGCACACAGGCCGTCCAGGCCACTCAGTGTAGGACGGCCCCCTTCTCTAGTCCCAAACCCTGCCATTGAGCCCCAACAGCACTCACTGGGCTCCTTGTGTCTCCACCCTAACCCTTCACCCTCACTCTCCTCTACCCAGCAGCCAGGGCATTCCGTCTGCTGAGATCATGTCACGCCTGGGCTCTGAACCCTCTCCCAGCCCTCCATGTCACTCCAAGTCAAAGCACGAGTCTGTACAACAGCCCAAGGGCTGCGCTGGCCCCTCTTCCCCCACCCTCCCCCGTCCTCAGCCACACCAGCCTGCTAACTGCCCTCCCCACCCCCATCAGGTCTCAGCTCAGTGCTGCCTCCCCTGGCACACCCCTGCCCTGTCTTTAGGACATCCGTCACCGCTAAGTCACCTTCCTTGTCTGGTCTCCCTCACCAAAGCGTCTGCTCAGGGAAAGTGTGTCTCTGCTGACCCAGCCAGAGGGAGGCACTCTGCAAGTAAGTGCCTGCGGACTGAATTCAACCTCCCACCCACAACAGTGGGTGCCCCCACGCTTCCGCCACCCACCGCCATCTGTGCCCCATCACAGATGGGGGGTGGCTGTCCAAGCTGCTGACAGGAGCACGTGCCAGTGTCACAGGGGCTCTGCCAAGTCACAGGATCCAGGAGCGGCCTGCTGAACTCCAGTCTTCCCAGTGGGCTGTGAGCCCCTTGCATGACACAAAGTCTTCAAGAGGGTACATGGGGCAGGAAGAATTTTTTCCAGATCTCTACTCACACATGTACCCTGTCCAAAAATTGGGAAATGTGAGGAGGCCCTGCCGGTGCCTGCCCCATGGACTTTCCCAATCATCCCCTCCCAGTTCACTGCAGAAGGCTCCAGGGGCCCCAGCACTCAGGAGTGTGGGCCCAAATCCCAACTTCCCATCATGCAGATGAGGTTGCCTGGGGGTTATACCCACAAAAGAAAACGTAGAAACAGAACTGACGGTGAGTCCCTTCTCCCGCGGGGAATCAGTGCTATTAGTTTATGGGTGCCCACAGACAATTACTCATCAGGATGTCTGACACACGGATGCTGCTTTGCCCAAGCCAGACGAAGAAACACTATCAGAGGTGCGTGGTCACAGCTTATAAAAAGAACTAGGACTTCCATGCATGTATTGTGTTTCAGAGCACTATGATGGTGGGAGTGGTAAAAGTGCCTACGTGGAGACGTGGCCCAAAGAGACCTCGCTGCGGGGCAGTGGAAGAAAGCTGGAGGCCAGAAGGAAAGGACTCACTTCCAAAGTGGGCCTGGCAAAGATGAGCCAGCGTGCGGAGTGGGAGAGGGACACAGGTATCAGTTCACGAGGTGACTTAGATGCCATTGGCCTCGTGTAAAAGGTGAGATCACAGTTTGGGTTGTAAATCAGTATTCGCAATACACCAGAAATTACACACTTTGCAATCTGTTGAAATCTTGTAGATGTCCACTTCAAAATACACGTGTGTGTGTGTTGGCTCATGACGGTGGATAAAGACCTTGTCAAACTCCTTTTGGGGGACAACTTACACAAAAAAATTAACTCCAATTGGATCATAGACCTAAATGTGAAATGCCAAACTATAAAACTCCTAGAAGGAAACATAGGAGAGAGTCGGTGTTACCTTGGGCTTGATGATGGGTTGTTAGACACAATATGGAAAACATGACCCACGAAAGAAAAAATGATAAGTTGCAGTATAACAAAAGTAAAGATGTTTGCTCTGTGAACAACACTTTCGAGAGAATAAGTCAAGCCACAGGCTGGGGAAAAATCTTTGCAAATCATATCTCTGAGAAAGGACTCGTACCCAAAATATACAAAGAACTCTTAAAACTCAACAATAAGAAAACAAACAACCTAATTTTATTTTATTTTATTTTATTTTGTCTTTTGTCTTTTGTCTTTTTCCGTGTCCGGCAACGGATGGCAAACCTCAGTGTTGCCCCCGTACCGGACCGGGGACCGGCAACGGGATCGCAACCCTCGGTGTTGCCCCCGCGCCTCGCTCAGCCAGTGAGCGGGAACCGGTCTGTATGTGGGATCCGAACCCTCGGGCGGGAGCGCCGCCGCACTTCCCAAGCGGCGCACTATCCAGTGCGCCACCGGGCCGGCCCCAAACAGCCTAATTTTAAAATGGACAGAAAGCTAAGGTTACCAGAGTTGGGAGAGGGGGAGGGGGAGGAGGGTACGGGAGGACTTGGTAAAGGGTCATGAAAATCGATTACATTGTATGATGTTGAATATACTAATTATCCTGGTTTGAGAATCACGTATTATTGCACACAGGTAATGATATTCAACTCTATACCCCACACATATGTACAATCAACTATGTTACAATAAAAAAAATTTTTTTTAATTCATTATGTGGCAGAAAAGAAAAAAAATAATAAAATTGGGCAAAAGATGTGAACAGACATCTCACCGAAGAAGAAATACCGATGGCAAATAAGCATATAAAAAGACATTTAACATCATATGCCATTAAGGAATTGCAAATGAAAATCACGACAAGATCCCACTACACACCTACGAGAATGGCCAAAATCCAAAGCACTGACAGTTAAACCTAATGCTGGCGAGGACTTGGGGCCACAGGAGCTCTCCCTCAGTGCTGGCGGGAGTACAAAGCGGTGCAGCCACTGTGGGGACAGCTGGCGGTTCCTTCCAGAGCTACCCTCACTCTCGCCATAGGATCGAGCAGTCACACTCCTGAAAACACGTCCACACAAAACCCAGCACATGAATAAAGCTAGTTACGGCAGCTTTATTCATAATCGGCAAAAACTGGAAGCAACCTGGCTGTCCTTCAGCAGGTGACTGGAGAAACTGTGGCACATACAGGCAGTGGAATACTATTTAGTGCTAGAGGAAAGGGCCAAGAAGCCATGCAAGGAAAGGGGTATGCATGATTCCATTTATATGACACTCCAGGAAAAGCAAAACTATAGAGGCAGTATAGTGCTTGACTGGGAAAAGCACAGGAGATTTTCAGGGCAGGGAAACTATTCTGCATGATACTGTAATGGTGGGTCCATGACACTGCAGAAGCCAAAACCCATAGAACTTCACAGCATGAAGATTGAACCTTACTATGTGTGAACTTACAAATAATCTTTGAGGAGGTTGGGGGGAAGATGGAATGCAGACTATGAAAAAAGAGTCTAATTATGCGAGCAGTGTTACAAATGCATGAAACAACCTCACTGAGGGGGCTTGCGGGGGAAAGGGCTGATCTAAGTCACTTCGGACATGAGTGGCATCTGTAAGACAAAAGCTAAAGGAGCTGCACATCGGCCCTGTCCTCCACTTGATAAGCTGGCTCCCCGCGAGGGTATGGGCTACCAATTCCCAAAGCAGCCTCCCTTTGTACCGGAATTAAACAGTTATGTGAACGATGGCAGATGGAGTGGGAGGTTACAGACAGGCAAGGGGAGCAGGCTAGAGTGATCCTTGCTGCGATGGATCAGAGTAGGCAACATCGACATGAACTCATGTTTCCTGGAATAGAGATACCGATGCGTACGTGTAGATGTTTATAGATCTGTGTGTGCACGGGCTTAGTATATATATATATATATATAAGCTTCCTTGCTCTCTCGGCTCAGAGGACCTACAAGCAACAACACTCCAGAACAACGAGCACACCCAGAGGCCAGATCTTAGTTTCTAACACCATTCTCCAATAAATGACTCCTTGGAGAAATAGCTGATTCTAGGACTGGGGCAGGAAAATATAGAAGCTGGGCCTGGAGCCTGAAAGTAAGGAAGCGCTCACACACACGCGTGCACACACACATGCACACGTAGGCACACACGCATGCACACACATGCACACGTGGGCACACACGCATGCACACGTAGGCACACACAGGCACACACGCATGCACACGTGCACGTGCACACATACACACGTAGGCACACGCGCACACACATGCACACGTAGGCACACACATGCGTGCGCACACAAATGCACACGTATGCACACACAGGCACACGCGCATGCACACACGTGCACGCACACACATACACACGTAGGCACACGCGCACACACATGCACACGTAGGCACACACAAGCACACAGCGATGGGGGTATGTCAAAGGGACACAGGAGCCAACTG